TTCTTGGTTTGTGAATGAATTATATTGAATTATTTTACTTAAGCGTAGAAAAAAAATTAATTCAATTTTCAATCTTTTAATAAAAAAAGTTTCAATCTTTTTATTCACGAACTGATAAAAAAAAAAAGAAACAAGGTATTTATGATAATTTACGGTTTTATATTTTTACTTAACCCTTTGACACACACAGATATGACACCGGTGTCTTATATTTGTACTAAAATATAAAATCCAAAAAAAAAAAAAAATAGTTTAAACCTTTTTCTTTTCATTCATGTTTAAAAAATTATCAATAATTGATTTTGAAAAATTAAAAATTTCGGTGATTAATAATTGTTTCTCTTGGATCTAAATAATTAGATCAGATTTGAAAAATTATCGTTTGGAAGCGACCTGCGTTAGGAACATTTTACCTTTAATGCAGAACATTTTACCTTCACTTATTCTGACCTAAATTAATACAAAATAATGTAAAAAGTATGAAAAATATTTTTAATAAATATTCTCCGTTAAAGGGTTAATGTATACTATTTTCAAGCGCGAATAATCTCTTTAAACTCATTTAATTTCCTCAAGGTTTTATTTTCACGTTTTAGTTCTGCTTTCTCTAATTTTTTTTTAACCTTTTTCTGAGGAAGTCATTCATAACAAACTATTTTTTTTCTCTTTTCGTTTAAAACAAAAAGACAAAAAAAGGCTCTTAAGAACACTTTTTGATTCTAAGATAGTTCCGATCCTCTGATAAAGTGACTCCGGCGTTTCAGATGAGTGAGCTATAATTTTCTTCCGGTTTAACATCAGTACTGAAGCCACTCAATTCAACGAAATGGAAATAAAGAAGAAAATAAACCTAAAAAAATGTATAGCGAATAAAAATAACACTTTTTAGGTATTTCACGCTTTTTTCTGTTCTTTTTCTTCTTGTTCTTTTACTTCTTTCTTTGAAAAGCTACGATTGAAATTGTGTGCTTTGCTTTAGGAAGATATTTCCAAACCAGTGGTCCCAACATGGGGTTCCGTGGAACCTTTAGGTTCCGTGGAGAGGTCACAGGGATTTCGTGAGTTAGGACAACGTTATCAGTTACCTGTAATAAAATTTACATCCAATTTATTTTCTATTAGTTGTTTAGTATTGATCCGATAATTATTACCAACGTTTATTTTCATCCTTATTCATTTTTATTTAAACGATAATCATATTCCAGCTCATTCATTTGCAGTTTATACATGCAATAAAATTTAAATTATGAACTAGACTGGATGGCACTTTAAGCCTGCAAATTCAACTGTCTAACCCAGAGGTCGCCAAAGTGGTCTATATAGACCCCAGGGGTCTATTTAACAAACGCGGGGGTCGATCTAAGACAGGGGGGCGAATGGGGTCGATTGTGGGTTCAAAAAAAAAAAAAAACAGTTCTCAATACGCAAATCACACATACCTAATTAAGTATGTAAAACTTGAGAATTTTTTTTTATAATTGACTCAATATCAGTTTCTTTATAAAATATAAATTAATAAACGTATATTTATTGGGGTAAAACAAGTATTTACGTACCACCGCGCAGTGGCACAAACTCAGCGCAGTTTATAAGTCATATCATATGTGCGCTTGTCCGAATGTCACGTGTGACGAGCATTGACGTTACAAATGCAAATATCATACGCACTTTCAGCTATCTTTGCAAACTGTGTTGAATATTTGCAGTGTCATTATTAAAACTTTTATAGTTTTGGATAATTAGTTATTGTTTCGATAAAACCATTCGCTTAGTTTAGATATCAGTTTTAATTATCAATGCACAAAAAAGAAGGTAAGCATTAATAATATGAATTAGTACAGCCCTCGACAAAACTATAGCACACTTTGTATTTTTCTACGAAAATTACAAAATTGACCAACTTTGAACCCAGTATAGCGAACCTTGCAAAAAAACACCAGGCTCACCCATCTCATTGATCAAGAAGCAGTAAATCTTTAGTTACTTTACTTATTATATCTACTTATGCATAATTACTTATTATTTAATAATAAGGTATTTAAATTTCAATGTTAATATATTTTTCATAAAACTATTGTTACACAATGTACTATCACTTTAATAAATGTTTAAAATCATAAAATAAATGTATAAACACAGTATCTAATAGAGTTTTATTTTAATTAACAGAAAATTACTTTTGTGGGGGTCGATGGAGATTTCGAAAAATTATATAGGGGTCGATGATCAAAAAAGTTTGGCGACCCCTGGTCTAACCTAAAATTCAATTTTAAGACTAGTACTGTTAAAACGGCACGATAAAAAAATGTCACTTTTCGTCCATTGATTCAATTTTTCAGAATAATTTATAAAATTTTAATTTATTAATTATTTTCTAAATAAATAATTCATTTTACTTAAATGATTATCACATTCCAACTCATTCATTTTCAGTTTATGCATGCAAATAAAATTCAAATTATGAACTACACAAAAAATAAAATTAAGAATTAGGAGATCAAAGTAAAAGTTACATAATATTTATATTATATTAAAATTATAATTATGATATAATATTTATATTATATTAAAATTATAATTATGGTACAATATTTATATTATATTAAAATTATAATTATGTTATTATATTTACATTTTCCAGATTTTAGCAACAGATTTTGAAGGTCAAAAATTAAAATCCACTTAGTCTCAAAAATATGTCAATAAAATTGTTTAAAAAAAAAAATTCAAGAAGTAGTAATTTTAAGTTTTTTTATCTTCTTAATATTCATAAAATTTGGGTAGAAATTTTAGATTTTTTTCATTTGAAATAACATTAATTAAGCTGGTGTAAAAATTTAATACTTTTTATACAACTATTGTATTCGTTAATAATACTTAATTATTAAATAATACTTAATTATTTAACTTTAATTTTTTTGTAAAATTATCTTTTTTTAGTCATGAGCAAAAACTCTTAACTTAATTTGGAAAAAAAAATTTAATAATGTTTTTTAAAACATAGTTATTTGATTAATTTAACTTTAAAATGAAATTTAAAAAAAAATTTGCTTCTCTTTATTTTTAAAAGGTGTTTTATTTTTTCTGAAGCATTATTTTTATTTAAGAGTCGCAAATGCTAACTAATATCATACTAAACTAAATATTTATATTTTTTCAGGACCTAAAAATTAAGTTTCTTCTTTTTATAATGTATGTGAAGCAACCTTCCAGAAAACTAAAATACCTTGGAAAGTATTTCCGAAATTTTATCACAGTATAAAAAAAATAATAAACTCTATAATAATATATTTTCTCCTTATCTTTTTTGCCTTTTATCCATTAAATATTCATCTAAACAATTATTATATTTATAAAAAAAATTAGTTTCCTTCATAATTTTTAATAACTGCCACAAAAGAAAGCAGAATACAAAAAGAAATTTATTAAACGAAATCAATTTTCTGCTATAAGCTCTGATATAAAAGGAAAATCCTATAAATATATTTTCACTTAACTCCTAATTTCAAATTCTGTGCTGTTTATGCGATATGTAATCTGGTGTCGTACTCGCAATGATAAGAATGTTTATTTACTCGAAATAACAATAACCGTTTTTCAATGTATGTGAGATTTGAGCTGAATAGTTGAACCGTATATCATTCTTAAATTAACCATATTCCAAATTTTTGTTATTTTACGACAATGAACGATTTCGTTTTTTGTTTAAAATAACATGTTGTTCAGAAGTGTTGGGTCAACAAACTTTAAAAACGAAGAAAAGAAATGAATAAGAATTTATTTTTTTGTCAACTCCTAAAATTTTTTCAGCCGCGGGCGCGCTCTGATAATTTTTTTTATAGTGCGTGGTCGATAAAATTCAAAATTCTTAACTATTCTTTTATGTTGCTTTTGGTTGAACAAACATCTAGAATTAGGAATTTGATAGAAATAAAACAGAGGAAAAATGCTGGAAAAGAAAACTCTGATTTGAAACTGTAAATTTTGTTGGAATATTTATAATAAATATTACTATATATCATATTATAAATATTTCTATATGTAATATTATAAAAAATCTATATATATAATTTTATAAATATTACTATATATAATATTATAAATATTACTATATATAATATTATAAATATTACTATATATAATATTATAAATAATAATAAATATAAAATTTGTATTTTATAAAAAATGATAAATATTTATTATACTTATTATTACATAAAATAATAAGTAAATAAATAATGAAAGAGAAATTTACGCTCTTCATTATGATTTTTCGTTCCTGTCAAGCTGAATTACTGTATTGTTTGCTTACATTCTTGCTTGCAGTTGAGGAAATTGAAATTTAAAGAGACTTAGATAATAATGGTAAAAATAATAATATATCACTTTACGTTTCCCCCACTATATATATTTTTTGGCAAGAGTTTTAAAATATTTATAAATTGCAATGGTTAAGGAATACCTGTGTAACAGTTCATAAAAAAAAATATTCTTTTCGTCATTCCTTTTAATGTGTTTAATTCCATGCGAAATGTATCCCAAATAGGAGAAAGGCGTCATGTGTGGTTATGTTAAGGCAGCATTTTCATATTAGAATTCCATACATAAAATCGTATAAAATTCTACGACCAAGTCTTAAAGATTTCAGTTTTAAGGACATACATGCGTAAAGCTCACAGGAAATTTATGTGTGATACGTTATTCGGAGAAAATATATCCCAAAAACGTTCTATTGCGTTTTCATAAAATTGGCCTGGCAGTTTTTATATTTTATCCAGTTGTGATTCAACAGCGGTGTTTTATTTATTTATGTTTTTTTTTTTTTTGAATTCCATGAAATGTATTTGCTTCTATTAATATTATTTGTCTGTATTTATTTTTTGACCTATTTCTGGGAAATAAGTATTTTTATACGTAGTCAATCTCAAGTCAGTTTATACGAAGTATCTCAATTTCAGTACATTTACTAATTTCTTTATACTGTTTTGAATCATTTTCAGATGGAAAATGAAGATTACGACGAAGATATCTATGAAGAAACTAAATCCAAGGTGAGACATTATTCACTGTTTCCCCAATTTAGCGATTCCTTTTTCTTCAACGACTAAGAGTTTGAAAATTTCTCATTTAAGGTTGTTTACAAAAGACGCTCCTCAGCTTCTGAAGTAAAAACGGACGAAGAAGATCATGAAAAATCACGAATGGGACGATCAGACCATTATAAACGGAAGGACTCGCGATCGGGACGTCCAGACTATTCTAAACGAGAGGAGTCAAGAACGAGACAGCCAGAATTTTCCAGCCACGAGGATTCCCCTGTGGGAAGGCGAGAATATTCTAAACGCGAAAGTTCAGACGATGAGAAGAAATGGACAACGACTGCCACAATAAACTTCAAAGGTAAAGATGGTAAACGGATTTCCCAAGTGGGCCAAAGGACATCGAAAGAAGAATCGCCGACGAGGAGATGGAGTACCAGTGAAAAGCACGATGTTCAATCAGATCCTCAAACAGAATGGACTAGGACTGTTATCAGAGAATCAAGAAGTGCTACAGATTTACATTCCGGCTCGCGTCATTCGCGAAAATCAGATTCCAAGTTTCATATTTCACCGAAGGTAGAAAAAGATAGGAGGGGCAGGGCAGAAAGAGGAAAAAGGTATCCTTACGATGAAGATAGTCTGCCTTCTAGAAGTAAGAGTAGATTGTCCAAGACTGGATTTTATTACCCAGTGGATAAGTGGGAGGTAATTATGTTTATATTTACAAAGACAGACTTTAAAATTAGCATCCACATTTGGTTCAGTGGTAGAATACTCGTCCGCCATGCGGACTGCTTGGGTTCGTTTCCCGAGCGGTTCACTAAGAAATGGCATGTTCAAACTCAATACCTAATCAGTAAGTCACCAAGTAGTATCATGGGTTAAGAGGAGTTTTTAATCGCTCAAAACATCAACTCACATACGACATCAGATTTAAAAAGACAATTATTTAATAACAAATATGAATTTACATGTTGATATATCCATATCTGCAAGATTTCAGCTTATTACTTGGGCTCAAAACGTCCACTCAGTTAGACGGTTTTACCAACATTAAAAAACTTTACAGACGGTTTTACAAAACTGTATGGAGGGTTTGAACTTGCCAAAACGTACAATTTTTTACCATATAACGCGAGGTCGGCACTTTCGAAGTGAAGATGGAGAATCGGTCTCGAAGTAAATCACATAATAGTTGTAAAATTCCGGACCTTATAAGAGCTACGACGCCGATTCTGGTGTTAATGTCCTGTGGCGATTTGTTGAGAGCTTCGAAAACGGCACCTTTTAAATGTCCTAGGATGAACTCGGTGGGACAGATCGGGAGATATGGGAGGCCAAGAGGCTGGACTACAGTGGCCGAATCATTTGTTCCAGTGAACTTTCGTTTAGTGTGTCCAGTTATTTTTAAGTTGCCACTAGTTTCGACTGTTGACGCAGAAATTGCACAATGATTGCATTATAAAATTTTATTTTATAAATACAGTCATTTTTGCACAAAGGAAATTTGAAAAAGTCATATCATACGGAATAAACTTAAGAGTTCAGCCTTTTTTACCGGTAACTGCATGATTAAAATGCTTGGGAAAAAAAGAGTAATTTGCCCTCAAAAGTTCATGTCTATTGAATTGCTATTATTTAAAAACGAAACAGATTTTATTATATATTTATCATGAAGAAATTTATGGTACATCAACAAAAATGTCATTACTTAGGTTACGGTCACCTAATTTCCTCCTTATTATGGTTATTTTGATTTAGTGAGTTTGCCTCAAGCAGACCCTTTATAATTTCGATATTTCACAGCAACGTAAAATTGTGATTAAATATTTTTAGCAATTTGCATTTATTTCAAATACTTTGTCAGGTTGACTACACCAACAAGAATTATGTTCGAAGCAAGTGTGTGAAGCCTCAAGGCTTGCACCGATACGTCTACGGAAGACCCTTCCATTGGGATGTAAGTAAAAATAACTGACGTGATATCTATCTTTTTACATAATAAACTTATTTAAATAAATTAAAATAAGTTAATTAACATAAATAATAAGTTAATTAACATAATTAATAAGTTTATTAACAAGGTAATCAACTTTGTTATTAAGTTAATTAACTTAATCAATAAGTTAGTTGACATGATTATTAAGTTAATTAACATAATTATTAAGTCAATTAACATAATTAATAAGTTAATTAACATAGTTATTAAGTTAATTAACATAATTAAAGTAAGTTAATAATAAATAAGTTAATTAACATCAATTAATTAACATAACTACCATTAAACGGTTGGATTTAGCGCTATATTGAGCATTACGGGCATCGATTGATTAGTTTCAGCATTGTTCAATTTTAGACTGTTTTTTTCTATTTTAAATTCAGAAATATTGCAATTTTTATTGATATTTACTTCATACAATCTTAAAAAATTTCCTCAATCAAGTATTTTCTGGGAATAAAACCTTATTTAATAGCACCAGCATACTATATTTATACAATCTTATAATTGAAAACTACATCCTAAATTGAGAGAGCGTATCTATTAATTTCTAAGACTGTTCTAAGAAATCAGGAAACGATATTAATGCAGTGCGCAAAATATAGTAAAAAACGGACCACCTTAAATTACTTTTGATACTAACTATCGGATCATCACGTTATAGTAATTAATCTAAATGGTTCGAGGGGGTGACCTCAAGTATGCTAAATAATTAGCGCAAACGATATTTTAAATTAGGAAAATCAGACACAAAAACGCACTTTCTCCGAATAAACATACCTTTTTTTTCTGCGAATTTGGATTTTTGGCTCCCAAAAATAAAGGGGTTACTCCCAATCTGAGAAAAGGGTCCTAGAAGTTTGATCAGTTGAGCGTTGCAAAGTTAAGACTCCTTAATATTAATTTTACTTTTTGCATTCTCCCCAAAACTCTTCAGGTGAATTGAAAATATTTTGCACAACAGTTATAAAGTTTTCTTATCCAATGGTAAGTCCATGCAAAATAAAACTTTTAGTAAATATTTATTATTTTAATTAATAACGTAGAACATTTTTTGAATAGTGAGGTATTTAATTTTCTACACCATTTTTATAAATGTAAATTTACATGGCAAAATCTGAGCAAAATCGGTTAAATAGTTCATGAGAAATCAAATTTTTAAAATACAACTCTTTTGAAATTCAATTTCTCAGAAACTATTCGACTGATTTCACTCAAATTTTGTATTTTGCCATGTAAAACTATTCCCTTTAAAATGGTGTAAAAAATGGCAAGCCTTACAACAAAATTTTTTTCTTTTTGACTTTTATTAAATTAAACAATAAAAAATAATAAATGCTTACCAAAAGTTATATTTTGCATTGAATTATCTTTAGATAAGCGAGTTTTATTATTGTGTGCAAAACTTTTTTAATTCACTTAAAAATTTCTTGGAATATCGTTAAGTGCCTCAAAAAGTAAAATTAACATTACAGGGTCCAAAAAATTTGGACCGTTCTCCTGATCAAACTATCGGGACCATATTTCCCAGGTTGCGGCTACCCCCCTATATCTTTTGGCTCAAAAATCCGATTCGCCGTTTTTGTGTCTGATTTCGTAACTTAAAATATCATCTGCAGTAATTTGTCAGCTTATTTGAGGTCACCTCCTCGAATCTTTAAAGATTAAGTCTGAAAACGTGAAGATTCAATCATTAGATCAAAAGCTATTCAGGGTGGTCCGTTTTCAATGTTGCGCACTGTACAATAAATGTCCATTTATTATGTTTTGAGCTAGTCTCCATTTGTCGTTGTGCACTTCTTAAACGTATCAGAAACAAATTTAATTTTTTAACTGAATTAGTTCTGAATTCTGACGCAACGATTTTTTATAAAGTCCTCGACATCCTTAAATTTTATCTCCAAGCAATAATTTTCAGTTTAGGAAAATAAAATCTGTGGGTGTTCAATCTTATGTCCAAAAAGTAAAAGGAATGATTAATCTTTGTGACCTAATGATGGGTCACAAGCAACTTCGTAGGCAAAGGAATCTGAGTTCTGGCATTGTGTGCAAAAATCAATAAATGTTTTATTTGTTCATTTTTTATCGAAGTGAGATGAGAATTTTTTAAGAGCAATCCTGATGGAATAACTGATTTGCACGCAGATCAAGATCTTACTTTTAATAGGCATGGGTGCAGTATTATTTTATGCAATAATAATGCCAGAGGCTTACATTACGTGGCATGCGGTTTTCTTTTAGCATGACAGTATGGAGTTGAAACAACCTTCATACTCTGTGGACTCCGCACACAAACTTTTCCATGATTTCAAACCTGAAAATTTTTCTGTGAGGTACAAGGTTTGATAGGATGAAGACTTAAAAAAAAAAAGACTAACTTCAGAGCTGAAAAAGCACACTCAAAGAAATTATATCTAAAGTTGTTAAAGGGAGAATTGTTTTAAAAGTTTTTTCTGACGTTTTTACAGATATGGTACTTAAAAGGAGGGAATGGCTTATAAAAATAGCGCCTAATCAAATAAATTACTACTTTCAATCAGAACATGATACAGAAACAGTTCCTCAAGGCTTTTGTACATTTTAAAACCTATTTCTTCAGTTTATTGACATGTCTCTTAGTTCAACAGTTGTCAAATGTCATTATGATTATTGCTTTAGGTTTATATCATTTTTCCATTTCTTCTATATTGACGAATAAAAATTTTTTTTTAAAGATTGATTATGACAATAGATACTATTTAGTGAGCAAGGTGAACGTTCCCAGAGGTCTACATAGACAAGGCCGTGAATTTAAAAGAAAACTAGTGGTATTTGCTTTACATTTTATTATGAAAAAATACTTTTCAGTTAATATTATTATATATAATGAATTAAGTTCTGTAAACGATTATTCAATAGCCCGATGATGATATTCTTGCGGATTCAACTGGCTGGCAATTTGAGTATGGACCAGAATTTCATCAAGTTGAAGGAGATATACCTTTTAACACTCGAGTAAGATAAGTCCCTTTTTATTTTCTTTAAGGTAAGGTATTCTTAATGTAATATGCAATATGCTATGGAATAAGATAAACGAGATGATATTTTGTAAAATTAACATATAATTGTTTAAAGTATTTTTCACGTAAAGGGGAACAAAGAAGTTTTGCTTGAAATCAGAAATGCGTACAAATTCACCTTAAAATATTGAAAAACTTGCACCCTATTGTTGTAAAATACTTCATTATTCAAGCAAAAAATGTTTACTGATGTATTATATTCAATTTAAACACAAAAGTTTAAATTGAATAACTGCAACTCGATAAGTGAAATGATTTTGCCTAACCATGTGTTTTAAATTAGATTTAATTGGATACCTGTAACGACATAACGAGTGTGTGTCGAACTTGATTGGCTTCTGAAGCGACCAATGTTATGATTTACCAACGATGACGTCTTTTACAAGTATCCAATTATGAATTAGAAAACGATTTAAAATTTTTATGATCAAAATATGTCTGTTGAATCAGTTGCCTCAATAATGATCTATTCTTCTCTTTAATAAATTATCTAATTTTGAATAATGAAATTAGATAAATACAAAACAATTTTCTAACTACAAATTTCAGTGCTACGATGACTTGTCTGTTGTACAAAGTTTGGCAGCTATTTTTTACTGATTTCTAACAGTAAAATGTTCCATGAGCATTTCCTTCATAAGTGTTTTATGAGTAATCGAGAAACGTTTATTGAGCTGTCAAATAAGTTTTACACCAATTTTAAAATATTGCAGTATAAAATTTGAAACCAAAAAACAACATCAATTCTTTGTATTTTTGTTTTATAAGGAAAACAAATAAAGTAGTGGGTTATTCATTGAATGATTTGCCCAAACATTTGAGTTGTTATTCTTATTTTAAGATGTAAGTTTCTGAATAAATTAGTCACTAGACAAGGCTATACAAATCTGACTTGTTGAGCTACTTCGAGGAGCATACAGCGTAGAACGCCTCAGAATCTAAACTATAATTTCAATAGAAGAAACTAAGTTAAAGATTCTAAAAACAAACAGTTTTCTTTCTGACAAACAAAGAAGAGGAAGTGGTTTGTAGGCAAGGGTTAAAGCAAAGTTAAAGAAAATAATCTACTAAAAATAAAATATTCTGGCTAAAATTTTATTTATATTGTTTACGAATCCAAATCCAGAACCAAGCTATGCATGGTTACAAACTATTTTAAAGAAATAGTTTTCAAGAGTAATAGAACTTGCAAACTAATTTCTAAATATTTCTTTAAAATAATCAGGAAAATGTGTAAGTGAAGATCTTTTATACTTTAACCATTTTGATTTTAGAATAAAAAAAATGGAAGAAATAAAAACTATAGAAACTTTCGTTGTAGTACTGCAATATAATGCTACGTAATATTGTAATACTGCATAGTGTTAGTATCAAAGTATCATATACATTTTAAATTGAATGAAGGCATTTACAGACAGTTTTTAAATGACATATTTAGTTGCAATAGTCTGTAAGTCGGGTAAATTGTGGAAATTAACTTTCTACTACGTTTGTTTTTAACTGTGTCTTTGAAGGTGAAATCTTGCAATAGATAGATTATTGCTAATAGAGTGTTATTAATTGGAGTATTGACAGATAAAATTATTCATAAATAGAAATTTCGATCACTTTCGTACCAGTTAGAGTACTTACATTTCAAATAGTACTCAATGTTTGATATCGAAACAAGTTACAGTTGGTGTAAGCAAAATATATCGCCGATTGAAATGTTATGTCAACCACTTTTCAACGTGAAATGACTAACAAACATAAAACCAAAAGGAAGAAAAATATTGTGAGATGAAATAAGAATTTTAAAAGTACTTAGTTTATACTTAGAAGGATATACTTAGGTATACTTAGAAGGCGAAAATAATTTTATTTTTGTTAGATAACGTAGTTCACATCACTACAGCAATATATTTTTATCAAGTCTTTCGAAAATACACCTTATTATGTTTTAAAAATCACAAAAATAATATTATTTTCCTTTTAGTCAACTTGAAAAACTTAGCTTTCAAATTTTTAGTTTATTTTACTTTTAATATGTGTTATATATAGAAGAAACGAATGTTGAGCTTTCCTAAACTTTAATGAAACCTAAGGAGACAACAGCATGAACAATTCTTTTATTAATATTTTTATTAGATTTTACGAAGAGCTTTTTATTAAACGTCTACCTCAATTTTTCAATACTCAAGGACGAATGATTACAGAAACTGGAGCAAATCAGGAATAAATAATGTCCAACACCAGAAATGAGAGCATTTTTTTCCTCTATGTAAAATTCCCTTCCCAGAAAAAGAAATCCAATAAATTCGTATTTGACAACAGTAGGTCAAATTAAAATATTTCCCGTGAATCAACATTTAGTTACACCAATCGTGCGACACAAAAACTTATGCACAAAGCACAGTGCCTTGAAGAACTAACTCACCACTCCAGCGAATACAAATGAATACTTCGCGTGTGCAAGTCCATACAGGTTGGAAAAAATAAAAGTCAGTAGACTCACTCGCCTCATGGTAGAATGAGTAATCTTTAAGCGTGACAAGCTTTCATTAAGCAGTCAACAATTGAGATAAAAGAAAAAGCCGCTAAGTTATTCATGATCAATTGAATAGTTGGCGACAATCGAGGCGTAATCGATGGCTGCATTTTTGATCTGTGTGCCTCAACCATTTTCGAACGCTTTGATATGGAGATCGAAAATATCCTTCTGAAAAAGACCTCAGCTTGTTAGCTAATTGATCATACATTTCAAAGATTGCTTTTATAAACATGCTTTTCTCGCTGAAATAAAATTTCGAGAGTGTTTAAATAAATTCCAACTTGATTTATATGTCAGACAAATCTGTAAATTGGATGTGGTTTATGTTTATGGAACAAAATTTCTTTTTTTACAGTACTCATTTGAATGTTTTGAGTATGTTTATTTTTATTTCTTTACGTAGAATGGGTTTGAATGAAAGTTGATTAAAATCTCTCAAATTTTTTATTTTAATCGAGTTCTATACGTCAGATTAAAAATAGAACGTTAGCGGAACGGAAGATGAGAAACAAAATAAATTGTACAGTATTGCATTATAAAAACGAAATACGATACATCGCAATTTGTGATGTAATTAGGTTTGGCATAAAATAATAATAAGAATAACATGCTAGTGTAATAGGGAAACATCGGTATATAAAAATAACAATAAACAGTGTTATTTGTTTTAATTATTTTCCTCTTTATATACAATCATTGGAAAAACAACAATCAGTGATTGGAAAAACTACGCAATTTAAAGGCAACATACCGAATTTGAGCGAAATCGGTTGAATAGTTCCTTAGAAATGTAATTTTTAAAAAAATCGTATATTTTAAAATAGATTTCTCAGGAACTATACAGCCGATTTCGCGCAAATTTTGCCTTTTTCCATGCATACTTTAAAATTATATACTTTAGAATTCAAAGTGTTTTTTGACTGTCATTTAATTAAATAATAAAGAATAAGAAATATTTACTAAAACTTATTTTTTGTATAGAATGAATAAACGAATTTTATAATTGTGTGTAAAAAAATTTCGAATCACTTAAAAGGTTCTTGAGATATGGCAAAATACGGAAAAAGTAAAATTAACATTAAGGGGTTCAAATTTTGGATTGTTGTTCCGACCGAACTATGGGGATCATATTTTCCAAAATGTGGCTACTCTCTATATTTTGGGAGTAAATTTTTGTGCTTGATTCCGTAATTTAAAATATCATCCGTACTAATTTATTAGCATATTCGGGGTCATCCCCTTGAACCATAAAGACTAAGTCCTCGAAGGTGAAGATCCAAGCATTAGATCAAAAGTTATTCAGGGTGGTCCGTTTTTTTTTTTGGCGCACTGTACATGCGTGTGTGAAGGTGTGGCCAAAGGGATAAATTAGCTATTATTCATAATAGCTAGTTTAAATATTAGTAATACTTAATTCTAAATTAGTAATTTTTATTAAAACTCAGTCATAGGGGCATTCTCATTGAGTCCATTAATGAACCCTTGGAGATTTGTACCAATTAGATTTGAAAAACCAGTTGCGTTTGAACCTTGTTTCTTTACTAAACTAACTTTATAAGTAGTTGCCAGGAATCGCTACCAAAAACTGTTTGTTTGGAATCACATCACTTACTGCGCAACTTTTTTTTAAAAAAGTTGCACACTACGCACTACGAAGTGCGAAAAAAAGTGGTGACTTGATGCTCCTAGTACGCTACTTTCCGACCATTGGCAAAAGCAAAGACTATTTTTTTTTTTAGTTGATTAAAGCAAAGTGCTGTAATAGCAAAGTACATGCACGCATATTACTAGATTTATAAATTTTTGATTTGAACAGAATTTAAAAATTATTGATCCACTATACTAGATTTACAAATTCTTCATCCACAAAACTAGATTTACAAATTGTTTATCCACCTTTCCAGATTTATAAATTGTTGATCCACTATACTAGATATGCAAATTGTTGATCCACTAAACTAGCTTTACAAATTGCTGATCCACTAAACTAGATTCACAAATTGTCGTTAAGAGACAAATGAAATTAAAAATGACTCCACTGCCAAAAAAAACGCAAGTACTATACGATAAATTTCGAAAAATAAGCTTGGCAAATATTTTTTTCCCTTGTTACAGCTATAAACGCCAAAATAGAATTTAAAAAAATTGATAAAACAAAGTTTATTTTCTTTTAAAAAAATTTATTTTGCTTACTGTATAAAAATGCCACTTGTATATAAAAATCTCAATTTTAAATTTTTTTTGTCTCTTTACGTTGATTTTTTTTATTGCATGACAAAATAGGTTTTTGTAGTTACCTCTATACACTCTTAACTATCGGAACTTATTTAGAGTTGGCAAAAGTGGCTAACGATTTTATATTGTAAGAATAAGTAATTCTGATTTTGAAAAATTTTAGACTTTTTTTTTATATACTTTTTTTTAAGGAACGTATCGTTGGACAAGGAGGATATCGATTTTATGGCGTGAAAAGAAATAATTCTGATTGCGATCGAAAAATTGAGGAAAGGCTAGAAGTAAGAAGATTTTTTTTAGAGTCTAAAATTTCAATTTAAATAGAACAATTTATTTTAGATTATATAAATTATTTTTAACAGATATACGTACATTTAAAGGCAAATACCTTTTACCCTTCCCCTTTCCAATTCCAACCATTTGATGCAAAATTTTAATTTAACGTATTTTTAATAATTTTTTCATTATTTTATAGAAATTTGGTCAAAATAAGCGAAAAATATTATATTTAGTATTTTATTATTATTTTTTTTGTTATGAAATACAGCATCGGACATCGGTGTCCCTTTTTACGAAGATAAATTTTCCAAACAGATTAAAATAAGATTATGATAAGAATTAAGATAAGGCAGATTTAAGATAATTTTCCACTTCCAAACGATAATTTTTCAAATTTGCACTTATTTGCAATAAGTTAGATCTAAGAGAAACAATAATTCATTATTGAAACTTTTTTAATTTGCAAAATTAATAAACTTTTAAATATGAATGAAAAAAAAAATTTCGGACTACTTTTTTCGGATTTTATATGTTAGAATAAATATAATTCCGAGAATCTAACAGATTTTTAGAAACTATTAGGGTGTTTTTTATAACAAAAAAATATCAAAATATATTTTTACTTGCAAATAGAGCATTAGAAAAAAAGTATGCAAAAGGGACACCTGTGTTCCATCAACGTCAAAGGGTGCTTAGTCAATGATCCTGATTTTAACCACTTGCGCAGGAAAAACGTGCCACTTGCTTCAAGATAATTTTGTCACATAATCTTCAAGGACGTGCTGTATACATCTTGGCGGACAATTAGTAGAAATAAAAAAAAAAAAACATTTATGGTTCACAGAAATCGAGCAGATTATTCTGATTTCGGTTCGGTATAGAACACTTAATGTCTCATACTGTGTTGGTTAGTAGATCTCTGATTTTTTTAACAGCCCATGTGATTTAGTTCCTGTAAATAGAATTTTGTAAAAAGGGATCCTAGGGTTCAAATTCAAAACTTCTAGGGGTTCTTAGATCCATGCAAAATAAAGATACGGTGAAGCAATTTATAAAAAGAAAGTCAATAATTTTGGTTACATTTATTACTTTCGCAACGAAGTTTCTTGGTAAATTAATAAAAAAAAGTATTAATAAACAAATGAAATATAAAAAAAATTAAAGAAAAAAGTAGTGTTTTTTTTTATTTTTTTTTTTTTATTTTTTTTAAAGTAGAAAGCTTAAAACGAAGTCGAAAGTCTTAAAGCTAAAAATAAAATAAAATAGTACACAGATTTCCGTTATTCAGTCACTTAACTTGATACAACTGAAAAACTGTTGATACGTTAACCGTAATTAGGGCTTGATTGTTGCATGGAAAAAACGAACTTTTTCCTAAGGATCAATTTTAAGGAAGTTCCTGAAATGGATAATTAGGACGAAGAAAAAAATAATGTTTTTGTTACATAATTTGTCCTACATTGTAAAAAATTCCGGATCAAATTACACTAGTATAATATTACAAATTACCGGCACTTTGGGCGCATCATCCGAACAATCCATTTCTACCGCAAAATATTATACCGTAATTTTCAGTTTAATAATTATTTAATTAGAGTGATTATAAGATTTTACGTTAATTGTTACTGTAAAAATTACTGTTTATCAGGTTTTTTTTTTTTGTTTCGTACCATGTCCCGTAATACTGGATTTTATGATAAAAATGACCGGCAACCTCAGTGTCGATGCTTTTTACAGTAATTGGATCCGAAATTTTTTGTAGAGCAAAGCAGTTAACAGTTCCAAGAAGAAAAAAAAGCGATTGTGTTCGCGATCTATGAAATACTTTATATGCATTTTCAGACTTCGAACAAATGCTAAAATGCTAATAACCAATGATTCGTTCAACACCAATTTCTGAAGCAATTTCGTTTTATTTGGAAGAACTTAATATTTCAAATTATATATTTATTTTTTAATGAACTCCTTATTTAGCACAACGATCATGAAATTTTAAGTGAACTAGTAACTTAATTTCACAGCAGAAATCGGATATTTTCAGGAAAAGTAGGAAACCTCTAAAATACACGGAGAAATAAATTTCACATTCTACTTGGGCATCATTTAATTGAAAAATTGAATTCGGTACCCGTAGGGAGATTACATGGCCTTCGGGCTACGAAAATTTACTTTCCGAATTGAGTGAAAACAGGGCTCTTTAACTTTTAAAGGCTCCATTATGGATTCGTATATTATCCGGATATTCCATGTCCGACATTTATTTCTATAGTTCATTTATTATTTTTTATAATGATGCAATTTTATTATTTTTCATTGCATTATTACTCTCTTATTGATCATCAACAAAATATATGATGACTTTTATTAAAATTATTGTTAAATTTTTAAACTGCTTAAATGTTAAGGATTTGCAACTAATAATTTTAGACAACAAAATATTATTAATTGATTAACAATGAATTATTAATTGACAGTTTACATCAGTAATGTTAAATTGTATTATCAATTTAGTAAAATTTTAAAAAGTGAATTGGCATATTTAAAATGTGTAAGTGTTTAATATTGTTTGATTTTATACAAATATCATAAACTAAATAAACATAAAACTAACTTTCATTTAATGTTTCTTTGGTAATCGAGTTTGGTATTATGTGAAATCAAATTTTAGATAAAAATGATTTTATAAGAAAATTAACAAAATTGAAGTACTAAATATATAATTCTAGGAGATAGAGAATATTTTTGAAGAAGACTTTAAATATGGACACGAGTTTCTACAAGACGATGTTCCACACATTATAAAGGTAACAAATATTTTGAATTATGGAAAAATTATATATTTTTTTCTAGAAATGTTTAGGATATATCAAAACAAGCAAGATGTCCCAGGATTATATAAAGACAAACTTTAAGGGGAAACACCAAGAACAGGAGGAATCACCAAGGATTCAGAATTGCCTAGCAACCCATGATCGGAAACATCACGGGAAAGTAGTAAGACAAGTACAATAAACAAAGAGACGCAAGACTGAGATCATCTGAAATATTTATTGGTAAAAGATATTATGTGTGCAAAAATGTTCAAAGTTTCCATCATTGCTAGTGATACCGGCGTTATACTGGTGGGCCATGGATTTGTGGGCTATTTCAAATACACATGGATATCCGCAACAGCACAGGCGATTCTTGCCACCAGATCCATTTCGGAATCCACAGGTGTTGCGTACACAGCACTCAAAAGAAAGAAATGCATACTGCTTAAATCAGGAGAGCTTGGTGGCCCCCAAGGAACAGGTCCATCACGCCCAGTCCTTTTAAACACCACCTGGCGGCGAAGGAAGAAGGACCATAAAAATGATTTTATAAGAAATGGATGGATGTTCTCCTGTATTGGTATCTTAAAATGTTCCTACTGAAGACGTTACCGACTATGCAAATCTTAAACATTGTGATGACCCCTACTTCTCCTAAAAGCTCACCCCAATAATAATCCTGGGACACCTTGTATAAAACAAACGCATTTAATTGCATAAAGGTAGCGAACTCAATTCAAAAAGCCATCGACTGAAGTATTTGTCGAAATGTATAACATTTAAAAACGTTATGTATAACAGGGGTTGCATAAATGCTGTGACAAACTTTTAGGGGAGTAAGGACACATCATCAGGCTTAAAATTTTGTAGAAACCCTTGCTAGGTCATACGCCGCTAGGGGGTGCTTCACTATTATGAAATGTTTCTCCTTGTGCTCCTGAACAGGTTATAATAGGAAAGAACCTTTACCAGCGTACGATGACGTTTTCGGACATGGATTATCGAGCAATTATAATTATGATGATGTGCCCTAACTCCCACAAAAATTTGTCGCCACTCGTAAATTTCGTCACAAGTCGCCAAATTTGTCGCCACTTGCAAATTTCGACAAATAATAGACTAACAATGTCATCTAGAGAAAAACTGTAGCTTGAAGAGAGAAACAGAGTTGAAATCAACGACGTGAAAAGATCAACGATCTATTAAAAAATCTCTTGCAACTGAAATTAAAAAAAATTCCTCAATGTAATTAATCAATTGGTTTCTCGCTGCTAATGCCTATTCTATGCAAATGTTAACAATTTCAATTTCAGTAATTCAAACAACTCCCATGTAACATGTTTCATTTGATACAGCTGACTAGAATTTTATAATGTGTGGTTTTGTTTTCATTAATGTTTTTAATCACGTTTTCCCGCAAAATACTTTAAATTTCCATAATAATAATTAAAATATATTAATTAATAATATTAATAACAATAATAAAGCGCATGATTGCATTTAATTCGTATATTAATTGATAATAATTAAATCATGCGTTACAAGGCCTTAGTTATATCAAATACAATAACATTTCTACAAAATCAGATCAAGCGATATTCATTCAGCGAAAATCAGTCACGTGACAAACTGATTTTAAAACATCCTGAAATTTCACCGATTTGAAACTTTTATTTCAAAAGGTATTAAATTGTTTAAATCATTATCCGCATTCACTAATCGGCTTTTTTCTCAATCCTGATATTATTATTATTATTAATGCTGTTATCTTAGAGATGATAAGAGCCGACATTATTGGTTATCCTTATCAGGTATCGTTATCAGGGATATTGAGTCAAAATTCCCAAATTCACATTATTTGTTGAGTGAGGTTATCATTAGCCCTAGGGATGGATCATCAGTAACTACTGATAATGTGACTTGCAGACCACCAAAGCAGTAAATTTCTTATCATTGCTCACCTGGCGACTGCATACACCATATGGAATATGGTGATGTAAGGGGGGAATGCATTTATAAATCACTTTTCATTTTAGGTCAGCTATGCAGAGAAAGAAGAAGAAATTAATTTTTTTATTATTATTAGGTGTAGTTGATATAATTCTTCTGCACTAGATAAGGGGAAAAAATGGCAATTGCAATAATACAAATCAGCAAAAACTATTAAATTCCATTGAAATTTAAGATAAATTTAAAAAAGACATTGTATAATTATGCTATAATTATATATATATAAATAAAAAAAAGAGAGAAAGGAAGGAAATTAAGTAAATTAAAAAGTTTTATTTGCATGTTTTCTCTACATTTTGAACTTACTCTCGCAAATTCCAAAACTTAAGGAAATTGTTCTTTTTTGGAGCCTTAAGGTTTTAAAACTAAAAAATTACAAAATGATTTTAATTAGTTGCACACCATGAAACTTATTAATTACATTTAATTCAAAAATGGCTAAAAAATTAATCGTTGTCGAGAATTTTAAATCTTCTATTTATTAAAATGGCTGTTTCTTTCAAATTTAATTCTCACCTGAAAAGTTAGACGACAATATGAATGCAAATAAACGGTAGACTAATTTCTAACTAATTATTAAATTTGCAGTGTAGTATGGCTTACCGCTTATTAAAACGATTTTGAAAACTGCACGTTTTAAACTCATTGTGGTTTAGAAATTGTTTATGATTAAATACGGATTTGCGTTGCATATTTGTAATAAACCTGATTTTAAAAATTAGCTGTAAAATATCATTTTATAATATTTGTTAAAATTTGGTAAATGGGTTAAAATTTAGTAATTTTATCATGATATCTTAGAGCATGGGATAAAAAAACCATTTATTTGGTTCAATTTACTCCTCAGTTTTTTATTTTTATTGATTGTGTGATCACAAGAACTTTAATTTTAAAAACCAGAATTTTAGATAAACCTTTACTATATAAACGGAAAATTTATCTAAGGAATGGTTTAATTTAGTTTTATATCCAAAAATATGTTGTTTTTTTTTATCTAGAAGTATTATTAAAATACATTACGATAATTTTTTTCGGATTTCTCTTCTCTGTGAAGTAAGTATTATAATTTAATTGACGTTTCCAAATAAAAAAAATTATTCCACAACTTTTTTTTTAGAATGAATAACTCTGTGAATTTTATATTTTAGTTTAAAGATATGAGAATAGGAAGAGGGGGATTTCGCTTTATCGATGTCGAAAGGAACGAGGGAGATTTAAGACCTAAAGATGTCATAGGGCTTGATTATGTAAGTAACAAACAATACAACCCAGAATGTGACAACTTTTAAACCATATTACTATAAAAGAATGGCCAGATATGCTACCATATTAACATAATTTAGACCGCTATTTAAAAAAGCAACGTATTACATGTATTTCTATCTTTTATAAGACTCCGAACTATTCTAGAAAATTTTAAGCAATCATGCATGCGTTATCTCTTTTGAAGTATTGTCTTGTTAAGTGTTCTTTTATGATTAATTACGAAAATAGCTTACGGTATCAACAAAGTTGTTATTAAACTCATCATGAAGGAAGTGTTTTTAAATGTGGTTGTAATTGCTATTATTAGCTATGGATTTTAAAATGTATCGAATTTAATATCTCCTTACACATGTATTATTAAACCTTACAAATTGACCTTTATTAAGGCAAACTGAAGTGTGTTTTATGAAATTCATGAAAAACGTTTTACTCTAAAATATAAAGTGTTCTAAAATGTTAAATAAAATATATATTTAAGTTATAGTTGCAAATATTATTTAATCGTTGAAAAATATTAGGAATGAGAAAATTACAATATCTTTTTAATCATAATAGTTTAAATTTCATTAATATTTTTTCTTGTTTTAAATCTATAGTTAATTATATTAGTATGAAACCAGTTATCTTCACGTATTAAAAACACAGTTCAAATTGTTTACAGTTACCTAAACTTACATAAAATGTAATTCACCAAAAATGATACGATATGTGTTTTTATAGTTTTATTGTCTTATTTCTCTAATTAATTATCAATTTAGCTGATAAATAAAACCGCAAATAACTGCTTCAAATTAATTTATAGTGACGAATTTTGTACCATACATAATTCACATTCTTTTATGTACACTACACTGCTAAAAGACTTATGATAACTTAAAAATGACCGTCACCTTTTTTGATAAAGGATATCTTCACTGATAAAATATATTTTTTATCAGTAAAGTGAACAAACAGGGCAGGACTTTTCTGCTGTTTCCATACCAAAGTTTTTATCAGGCTCATTTATTTATAATAGGAAATTGATTGAGGTCGCGTAGAATATTGACACTAAAAACACTTACTTAGAAGTGTTTTGGTAGATAATTATAAGGTTTTGGAATGAGTCACATTCACGAAATCGCTTGTCGCGTTAGGATTATCCACAGTTTAATTTACATAATAGGATTAGTTGCATTTATGAATAGCTGATAATAATCGAAACGAAGCTAATATCCGTATTGCACTTATTATGACATTAATTTTATTACCGGAAATCGTAAAAACTGTAATTTTTTTTAAGTTAAGAAAATCTTCATTATTTTTTGAAAAAAGGAGAACAAAAATTTGAAATTTCTCATTCAATACTTAAAAAAAATATTGCTTTCAAATAATTTGTCAGCCGACAAGTGTTCTTTTAATTTATTTTTTGTTCTTCGAGTTAAAAAAAAGGCTTTTTCTTCTAAAGAACAAAGAGCACAACTGTTTAAGTTATCGATACTGTAAATAATAAAAAATTTTGATTTTGACTAATATATAATATACAATATATAATATACAATATATAATATACAATATATAATATACAATATATAATACTAATATATAATAATTGTTTCCTAAACGATTGTAGAAGTAATGCAGATGTAAAGATGACTTGCATTTCAACATTAGGGGCTATTTTAGAGCATAGGTCTTTAATTATTTTCCCCTGAAATCAACATTAATAAATTCGGGAAATTCCAAAGGCCACACATTCATTAGACAATGCAGTCAAAAAAATCCATTAGAAGTTGGACTATAACAATTTTTGAGCAGATAACTGAAATTTATAGTTCTAATATATTTGTATGTTTTATTTTATAACAGTCGTTAAGCAGTTTTACAATTTTAAACCCCAAAACAGCTTTAAACCCAATTTTGAGTTTACGACTACCAATGTTCAACTCCATAGCCTTATAATTTTGAACCCAATCCAGATAACTCCTGGATCAAGTATTGAGAGAAATTTGCTTTCGTGGAGATTTGCTTTAGATGAAACTAGCCCACGTTTGCTTGACATGGAGAGGAAATCCAAGGAAACCTCCCTCGGTTCGCCTCGCAGCAAGGGGACTCCAAACTTTGATCAGTCTACCACTGAGGATATATTACATCAGCACTACGGTCGGTGAAGTCAGGTTCAAAATTCAAACAGCCATCGCTGAGATTTGAACCCCGGGAACCTTTGTGGATAGTAAGCGCTTTATGCCCTGAACCATCACGTATCCCTTAATCCATGAATGTATGTTGTTATAACTTATAATATATGTTATAATCCATAATGTTATAATCCATAAATGTATGCTTTTAGAAATATAAAATAAAATCGTGCTTTCCTTTTCTTATTGAATAAAATTTAAAAAAAATATGAGTATCCTTATATGTATTTTTTTCGGAATTCTAGTCAAATATGAAATAAAAAAATATATATACATATTAAGAATTTTTTAATTTATTTTTAAAATATGAAGAAAAAAAACATCGAAAACGCTCTTAAATTCTTATGAATCACAACTAAGGCAGGAGACAATTAATTAAATGTTCAAATAAATAAATACTACTAAAGTGAGAGAACAAGGAAGGTTATAACAGATTCGAATTCCTTTCTGCCGCCACAGGTTTAAAATATAAATCAATTAATAATTTCAAGACATGCGCGTTTCCTACACTGGTTTCCGTTTCTTTCTTGCATTGAGAAAAAAAGTGTGGTCTAAACAACCAGAATATGGTAAACTTTACCATATTTCTAACTTAGTGGGAACACCAAAAATATCTGTAATTTTTACCACTTGGTAATGATTGTTGAAATTAATTATAAAAAATTGTATTATAACATGCGATAAAATTTGGTAACTGTGGTAAAATTGGATAATTTTATCATGATACCTTTTTGCATGGCATACTTTTCTGTTTTGTATTTTTTACTAAATGTGTGGTAAAAAGAACTATAATTTTGGAAAACCGAATTTCTGGTAAACCGTTACCATATGAACGGAAAAATTACCAAATGAATAGTTTAAATTCCATACATTTTGATTTTTATTACGAGAAAAATGGTTATTTATTACCAGAAATCCCATTACCATACAGTACGGTAATTATTTTCTCCAAGTAGTCTAATGCGTAGTTATATATGTATATATAAGCTTAAGCCCACAAATTCTATATTCTTAGTTATCGTCTGAAAGAGTTGCATTTTTACTCAATTTTTTTAAAAAACTTTTTTTCCTGTATTTTAAACCGAATGAGATATCATCGGGGGGCAACTAGTGGCCCGCTTACAGCGCTTTGAAGGTTGGAGACCTTTGCCTAAAGGCATATTATTCTGTTTGTTAGAAATATAACAAAGAATGCCTTTCTGAATTAATGAATTGTAAAAGGTAGGAGAACTAATTTGCTCAGATTTAGAGTTAATTGCTTTATATATTTTTCGTAGCACGCAAGCTTATAACACGTATGAAGAAAACGATATTTTGTTACAGTAAAAAGGATGAAAATAGTAAAAAAAATTGCAATGATAAGTTAGAGCTATGGTGGTTCAAGGGATAAAGCACTCGCCTCTAAATGAGGTGACGTGGGTTCGAATACCAGAGATGGCTGGTCGACACGAATTCCTACGCATCGACGTCACTGCTCACGTAAAATAGCCTCAGTGGTAGACAGATCATGTGACAGGTCAGGCTAACCATGGGAAGTTTTTTTCCATGGAACGTAAATGTGGGTTAGTTCTATCCAAAAGTCTTTCACGAAGGTAAATTTCTCCCTATATTTGATCCAGGAGTTTCCTCGTTTTCTGGATTGGGTTCAAAATTACAAGGCTACAAGGTTGAACATTGATAATCGTAAACACAAAATTGTGTCAGCTGTTGAACGACTTTAAAATGAAATCAAGGTAAGTACTCGTTATTTGAATAAGTTTTAATATACTCGTATATATTTTTATCAAAGAATAACTACCAGATAGTTTTCGTGAGGAATTACGAGAAAGTATTGAAAAACAGAGGATTCATTTCCATCTGCTGTTTATTTCCATTAAATGATTGTTTAACAAATAAAAAAAACGCAGAAATATTAATTTTGTGTTTAAGATTCCTTGATTATTTTCTTGATTATTTGCCTAAAATAATTGAAAGTCGAGCATGAAAGTACACAGGAAATATTAATATCTTTTCTAAGAAAAAAAAATCTTAATAATGACATTTGTCTAAAAATAACATTCGTAAAGCGTGTTAACTTTTATGTTATTGTAATGTATTGATTTATGTAATTTGTGGAAGTGAGTAGGTCATTGAATTGTTTTATTTTATTTTATTGTTTTCCTTATGATCTCCACTGTAAAGATAATAATCTAATAAAGATTATTTCTCTTAAAAATGGGCGTAATTTCTATTGTTCCGCAACAGTAAAATGTTTGATAAACTTTTTATTGGAATAATAAAACTTAGGAATGACATAGTAGAAATTCCAATAGAAATGAACCTTTATAATAGATTGCGTTTGTGCATTACATAGTCGTTTTTTCTTCACGCCTTTATAGTAAGTTCTTAGATAATTGATATAATTTAACACCAACAATATATTTTAAAAAAAAATTATTGTAATAAAATCTTCATATATTGTTTGAATGTAGAGCCCAATAGCACAAAAGTTGGGCACGGCTCTTTATTATCTTAAAAGCATGATATGCTAATAAACTAACGTCCAAATCAGACGCAAAAAAATATAATGAACAAAATTGTTCCTTCTTGAATGAATACACACACACACACACACACACACACACACACACACACACACACACACACACACACACANCATATATATATATATATATATGTGTGTGTAAAATACAAAAAACACGAAGAAAATTAAGAAAAACAATAAGTTTTATTTTTTGCGCATAAGCTGCAAGTAAATAGAATTCATAAAATAAATTCAAAATGTAGAGAAAACAAGGGAAAAATTACAGAACAAAGAAAGAAGGGGAAAAAAATAATAATAATAAAAATAACAGGAAACCGGAAAAAAACAATCCGAAAAAAAGAAAATTTTTTTTTTAAAAAATCCGGAAAATAAAAGATATAATCTTTTCATCAGCTCACACGATTATATCCATAGAAAAGAGTGCTTTCTAATATTGTATCATATAATAATATTGTATGTTGTATGATATATACATGTGGATATACATGAGGATATATAAATGTGGATATAATCGTGTGAGTTGATGAAAAGATTATATCTTTTATTTTACGGATTTTTTAAAAACGTTTTTCCTTTTTTTCGGATTGTTTTTTACTTCCGGTTTCTTGTTATTTTAATTTTTATTACTATTTTTATTTTTTTCCCCATATTTTATTGTTCTGTAATTTTTCCCTTGTTTTCTCTACATTTTGAACTTATTTTATGAGTTCTATTTACTTACAGCTTATGAGCAAAAAATGAAATTTATTGTTATTTTTTTAATTTTCTTCGTGTTTTTTGTATTTATTTATTATGCTATATGTATATATATATATATATATAATAATTTCTTATTTTGATGCATTTTTATGTTATTCTTTATAATAATGATATCATTGAGCCTGATCTTTAGAACTTAACAACTTATTGTTAGAATGAACTGTCATATGCCTGGTCTGACGCCTTTATAACTGAATTTTAAAAAATTACTCCTTTTTTTAAATCGTGATTCAGAATCTTATTTTCGAATTAAGTATTGTTTTGACTCCCCACAGTTCAAGAATATTAAAAAATAAAAGATGTCGTGTTCATTTAGTAATGAAAAATGTTTCCGACTGAGAGTAGAATTTTTTTTTTCCGATTTAGAAAAGTTGTTTATTGCGTAGTGTTAATTTCCATTCCATCCGTAATTGAAAAAATTTACTTTAAAAACATGTTTGCTTGAGTTTTATTTTGAAGGTCGTCTTATTCAAAAACCGACGCATTCTAATATAAAATAAACAGCATGCTTGCTCAGCACTTATGTAATACAGAAAAATTTCATTTTAAAATGAATTCTCCTTTAATCATGTTTATTTAAGACGCCATTTAATTAAATAAGATTAACTTGACTAAAAATAATTATTTTATTTGCCAAAACTTCCTGTTTACCTTCTATAAACTGTAATGTTATGATATAATAAATTTTTACGGCACTAAAAGCTCACTTATTGCAGTTAAACAAGTAGTTTTGATTTAAAAAAAAGAAACTTTAAAATTAAAGACTAGGCATGCACTTATTAATTAACAAATTTATGGTTAGATCTTACATTGTGTCCTACTATGAGAAATCCGACAATTAGATAAAAAGTTAGTAAGATTTTTTTTTTGTGTACTGTACAAATGTTTGCGTAACAAAAATAAGGACCAAAATGTTTGCCAACCAAAAAGAATTTTATAAGACACAATTTTTGCAATGCACGATTTAGACAAAATTTCCAGTTATTTCTGAAATGTTGATCATAATTCTGTTCTAGTAAACAGTAATAGTAAACAAAAGTAAATTCTAGTAATAAAGCACATCCTTTTCTCACAGGGTTTTAAAAAAGAGACAGAAGATTAGAAAATTAAATTATAAAAAAAGGCGGAAGGCAATAACATGCGTTATTTGCTAGAAACCAGAGGACTTTTTTACCCACGAAGTTTTAAAATTAGTTGCAAAACTCGTCAACAGATGTTGCTGCAGATTGAGGAAGCAATTAATGTTTCTAAATCAGCAAAACCGAAGTGGGTTTTGAGGAAAAAAGTGATTGATGCTTATGCAAATATTCCAGTTAAAATGGTTTGATAAACTGCATAAAGCATTGTCTATTCAACATTCTGATTGATCTATTAAGAGGTTTAGTACTAATTCTGAGGTTTTGTTGGGAACAAATTGATTTGTTTTCGATGCAGAACGCAGCAAACCGTGTATTTTTATCGTCATCCATTTTCTTTAATAGGTTTTTTATTCATACCCCGTTGGGTTAATAACAGCAACATAAAACTCTTAAGCCTCACTCGCCAGAAATCACGCTTATTTTCTTCTTCTTCATTTAACATTTAAGTGTGAAATCAAAAAAATATTGATCTATGATTACATGCACATTTTTTATTTTTATTAATGTAGAGAACAAGTCGTGCAAGCATTCATCCAGAGATTGAAGACATCGAAGAGGAGGAAGAATTTCCAAGAAAAGTAAATTTCCAGCTTTGTTTATATAGAGTATATTTATGGCATCATTTGTTTTAATTCTTCACTCTGCAATTGGGCTGTGATTTGACGGTGTTAGGCACCATCATCCATCTTCAGACTGTGTAATTTGCCGCATCTGTACTGTTTTATCAAGTGGGAACCTGAACCATTTTAAATAACGTAAAGTGTTTGTATTGAAAACAAGTTGTGTGGTCAGTCGCATGAAGCGGTAGAACTTAACGGTTCCATAAATTTTTGTCGGGTCTGATCATTAAATAATTTTAAGAGAATAGTGTTTTCTTTCAGGTGCTGCTATTATTTTTTTAAAGCTGATATTCCTAAACTCATTAAAATATCATTTAGAAGATACTTCCACTAATCTCTTTAATTATGTTCTAATATTGGCTAGTGGCTGGGTGGCGCAGTTGGTTTGATTGCTTGCACCGGATACAGAAAATCCTCAGCGGCCATGTCGCATGATTATGCGGCATGTAAAAGATCCCTGAAGTGCCTTATTGGCTCTTGGCATTTCCGGCAAAATTAAATTCCTAGTGCACTTTAGCAACCAAATAGAGTCTCGGTGCTGCCATCTAGTGTGGCAGAAACTAGACGTCCAAATTAACATGGCCAACGGTATCTCACCTATTGTGGTGGTCCTGAAAGAGGGGATACCACTTCTGGAGAACGCACTAGGTCAGCTCATCGGGAAGACTGATTGTGCAGCTCATAGGAAATAAATGTTCTAATATTGAATTTTACCTTAGTACGCACTAGGGATTTTTGACGATGTTTTTTATCTGACAAAGCTTTGCATTCGCCTTTCTATAATACCTCCTCCTTTAAACATTTTCCAAAGCCTAAAAAATTTTGTATGTATAATCTATTTGGTTTACTTAAAAAAACATTTATATTTAATGAATTTCTAAAATTTTAATTATTATCTTCTCTTAAACTGATTAAATATGGGACACGCACAAAGATTGAAGCCTGATTTTTAAAAATATTTTTTTTATCATCACTATGTTTATAAAAACATTGGAATAAAAATGACTATAAAAAGGCAGTGATTATAAACTGACCCCGATAGTCAGAAGAAAACAAATTAATGGGAGTAGTTTTAGTTTGAAGAATGGTTACAACGTTGAGCAGGAATAAAGAAAGAGAGAGAGCTAAGTCTTCACGATTGTGTTTCATCTTTTCTTCCATTCCGTTGTCCGTCCGTGTGAGTTCACTAGAGCTGAAATATCTTTTTTTCATCTCTGCCTAGTGCCACTGTATTTCATTTTAAAGTCATTAATTTTTAATGGTTAAAATCATTAAAAAGCTTAAGAAAAACATACATCGAAATTTAAAAATTGATAAATAAATTGATAAAACAAAATATTAATTAAAATTAGTAAAAATATAGGTATAATATTGTAAATGCAGCTTAATTTATAAACAGAATACTTGTGAATTTAAAGTATTAAATTTCGTAATTGTTTAGCAAGCTTTGTGTTTCATTTATTTATTATCCTAGCGTCAGGGAAAGCCATTCAAGCAGACAGTTTTTAAGAAGACGTTCAGACTTATAAAACCACCTTCAATAGAAGATTTTACTCATGGAACAGTCTTATCATTTGTAGTAAGTCTCTATTTTAGTCACTCTTTTTAGTCTCTATTTAGTCACTATGCATCACTCTTTGAGTACAGTGTAAATAATCTGATTTGTGTATTTAGAAAGTGATGTATGCATATTGATTATTGTTGTATAGTGCGCAAAATAAAAAAGGATCCATCCTGATTAACTTTTTATCTTATGATAGGATCTTATACGTTATCTAATATACTTTCGGGGACTCAATCATGCTAATTAATTAATGCAGACGATATTTTGAAAACGTCATATTTTCAAAATCCGATTTCTCAGGAACAATTCCACCGATTTCACTAAAGTTATGTATTTGGCCATATAAAATCACTTTCTTTTAAAAAAAAATTTTAAAAAATTGTGCACCTTACAATTAAAAATGCTTTCGACTATTATTATACATAATAAAAAATGTAAAAAAAAGTATAATAAAAAATTTAATAAATATTCCGTTCTTCTGACCAACTATTGAGACCATATTTTTCAGATTGCGGTTGCCCCCTATATTTTGAGGGTTAAAAATCCGAATTCATCGAAAAAAAGGCATGTTTATTTAGAGACGAAAAAATTCTTGTATCTGATTTCGTAATATATCCTCTAACATATCTGTAATATGTCGTCTAATTTCGATAATGTATCGTCTGCATAAATTAAATAGAATATTTGAAGTTACCTCCACGAACCGTTGAGATTGAGTCCTAGAACGGGAAGATTCGATTTAGATCGAAAGTTATTCAGGGTGGTTCGTTTTTTAATTTTGCGCACTGAATGTAACTGACCAAATATATATTTTTGGAAAGGCATTACATTAACACAAACACATATAAGAACCAAAAAGAAGATCCTCGAATCGAATAAAAAATCTAATTGGTTTCTTTTTTCTTCTTCTAATTTTAAAACTTTAAAAGTCATGCATGTAAAACAATTTTAAACGATGTAGAAAATTAATTAAAAAAATTGAGTATATAGTTTTTGGGAAATGCTTTCAGAGTTGTTGACTAGATTCAGCTTATTATTAAAAAAATGTTTTTATAATCTACCAGATAGCTAAATGTTTCATTTAAATCTTGGGAAAGGCTTTGTTTCATAATCTATTAGACAGCTAAATGTATATTCTATACCTTGACAAGGTTGCATATTATAAATTTATCATGTAACAAAATGCTTCAGATACATCTTGACAAAGGTTTCGTTTATAATCTACCTAGGTAGCTTAATATTTCACCTAATTTAAGGTATAGGCCCCGTTATATAATCTATTTGGCAGTTGAATGTTTTATCTGAAATATTTTCAACCATCAGAAAATTGTTTCATCGTTTTATAGGCATCATGCGAGCTATGATATACAAAATAACTTATTCACAAAGTTTTTATTTATTGTTTTTCAAGTTAAAAATATACGGACAATGTTTAAGGGCAGTATTCAAAAGTTTGGAGCTTAACATATTTCTAAACTTTTTGATTTGACAACCATTAAGTTAAAATTTCATTCTCACTAAAAAATTTAGAGTGTCTAATAGTGTTTTATAACAAAAATTTAGATAATCCTGTCTAACAGTGATTAACAAAAATTACAGCAAATTTTTTTTATAAATATATGATTAAATGCTTTGGAAAATATAAATATATTAAATATTTAGTGTAAATAACTTAAATATATCAATAGAGTTCAGAATTAACTGTTGTTAACGTAATTGTTCCCATCTTTGTGGCCTAAAATATTTTTAACTGCATTTAGTTGGAAATGTTTAATTGTGTTACAAGATTTAAAAATTTTTATGTGTTGAATATATTTAATTTCAAATATAAAAAAACTGAAAGAAAAATAATTAATGTTTAAAATCCACTATTTTTGATCCCTTGATTTGACATAATTTATTATATAATGATTAATTGCATTTCATAAAAAAATTAAACAACATTATAAAAACATTTTACTAAACCATTTTTTTGAAAAAGAAATTGTGAAAGCAATTTTCAATTAAAAAAACAATAACAATTTAGTCTTCATTTGCATAAAAATAGTCAGTGAAATATTTTTTTACTAGAATTTTTTTTCTTCTTTTTTTCTCTTTCAGCCTGAAGCTGGTAGCAGCAGTAAGATCTACGAGGGAAGATCAACTAGACCGTCTAGAGTAGGTATAAAAAACATTTCAGAAAGCGATATGTTTTCTTTGTCATTATCTATAAAATTATTAAAAATAAATAGTAATTGACTTTAAAATATGCGAAATGCATTAGAGCCGAAATTAAAAATTTGATTTTTAATTTTATCAAAAAAACACTTACACGTTTGTTGTCCCAAAAATGACATACAATCGGAAAATTCCATTTAAAAAACGGGAACCCGGTAATGTAGGGTTTGCTGCTGCGTTCTGTTTAAAAAACTAGAAATTAATTATTATCAAGTTTCAAAACTAGTTACTATGCTTTTAAAAGATGGTGCTACTGATAGAGAAATTATAAAACAATGTTTACTTATGTATTTCAAATAATTCCAATTGAAATATTTGCACTGTCGCCTGTTAATTCGGTTCTTAGATTGAGTCACATTGTTGCTACAAAGAATGATGATTTTGAAAACGATATTATAGTTTTTTTTCTCACTTAAAAGGTTTTTCGGTTGATGAACTTTAACAAAGCTTACAATTCCACCTCCGCCTCCCGTTTTTCTTTAATTGATTTTTCAAACTTTCGGTCATTTTAATGATATCTGGCATAAAGCTTTTAAATTATTGTTCAGATATTAATAAATATTTTTGTTTATTTGCAAATTGAAATGTTAGAATTGACTTAATAGAAATTTACAAATTAATTACATTTCACCTTACAAAGGGCAGTGATTTTCAAACAATCTCCAACGATATTGACACCGCGAATTTATAGAAAGCGTTCAAGAAATTTTTTTTAACACCTCTAATTAATTAAAACAATGTTAAGAATGTTAATAAATAATAAAACTTAATAACATTACATCCAGTCATGTTGAAAATGATTAATTATTGACGTATATTTGGCGTAAAATATTAATAATAAAACAATACATTGTTAGAATTTGACGTAAATCAGAAAAAAAACACTATTTATTTTACAAAAAAAAAAANAAAAAAAAAAAAAAAAAAAAAAAAAAAAAAAAAAAAAAAAAAAAAAAAAAAAATACTATTTTGTAGAAAAATAATAAATTTGTGTTATTGTGCTTCTCTAAGAATTACATACGACTGATACTGAGATTTTTTTAAAAAAAATTTCAATTACTCGTAAACGTGATTGTTTTTACCAATTTTTCTCGTATTTTTCCTCATTTCACAACAAAAATATTTTAATATATTTTTGCAAAACAAAAATATTTGTAACAAAAATATTTTAATATATTTAGCACTTTTATTTTTTCTTGCATTCATAAGATAGCATTATAAATATAGTGAAGTAAGTTTAAAGAAAAAATTGAGGTTATAAATATTCTATTTAAAAGTTTGTGTAATGATGAATCGAAAAATGATGCATCGTTTTCAGATAAAGAAGACTGCAAGTTTTGAAAAGCATATATTAAGAAAAAGTGGAAGTGATCTTAGCGAAAGACGATACGAAGCCAGAGTAATTTTTTTTTCCTTCCAATATAATAAGCTTCAATGAATTTTCTTAAAACTACTAATAACAATGCAATTAAAAATAACTAAAACTCGCAAAAATTTGGCAGCATTTTCATTGTTTATTTAAATGAGCACAAAAAACGACGAGCGTTTTTAACAATATTAGTCATTACTTATAACTTCATAATTCCAATATCTGAAAATAAAGTGCACAAGGCAACAAATTAGTAATTCCGGAGCTTAAACAGTGAGGAGCTTAAACCAGCAAGAACAGGATCCAAATAACAAGAGATGGGACCCAAGGGCAGCTATTAAAGTTATCATTTATTTCAAATAAGCATGCTATTTTATAAAGCTATTTGGTTTTTGTAAAAGATGAGCAAAAGTGGTTAAGTTCGAAAAAAAGACTTACAGCACTTCTCTTATTCCACAATAAAAGATTCTCATTGTGGGGTAGGACAAAGGCAAGGGGGCACCTAGGAGGAAAGAATGTTACAATTGCGTCATCTTTGAATAAAAAAGTTCTAGGTCAATAGTGTTTTTCAATATGTAGCCTCACCTTAAATCTTGTACATTCTTTTTTTTTTCCAATTCATCTGACATAAAAGCATTCTTTCGACTTAGGAAATATGAAAGAATAATTCAAAACTTGATATAATTTTAAATATATTTATGCTAGTTAATAAGTATGGATTTTAAAAAGTTCCTTTTGAAATAAAAATATTCTTTTTCTTGAATCAAAAGTATTTTTACTATAAAGAACTAAAGTTATTACTATAATTAGATATAATAGAACAATAAGGATATAATAGAACAATAAAGATATGATAATACTTTAAGTAGAGAAGTAAGGTAGTTCTCAAATTTATGCAACAATTTCTTTTATCTAAAATCTCATTTGCTTCATTTATAATACAAAAAAAAAATAATAATAATACTAAATTAAAAAAACAACAATCTATTAACGTTTACACGTAATTTTATAAATATTAAACATATCAAATTTTATGCGTGGTTGTCTCATAATGTCAAAACTCTCGATTCATATTTCCTAAAAAGAATATGCTGAAAAGAGCTTTTAAAATTTAAGCAACTTTTAGTCCATTGCTGTTAAAAATAATTTGCAAACCAAATAAGCTTTAATAGGTGTTTTGATACATCTAATTAAAAAATGAAAACGATTCTGAAAAGCTGAGATTTACTCAATCATTATATCAAAAAATGTTAATTTTTTTCTCACTTCAAAATATTATTCAAATTATGATATTTAGAAGCAAAAAATTATTTTAAAAACTTAGATTGTAAATTTCAGCGAAATCTAAGAGTTTTCTTTTATTATATTTTTTACATGAAATTTTAAGCAAAATTTTCTTGGGAGACATTTTCTGAGACGATTAAAATCAATTTGAATAAACAAATTGATGGAAATCGTTTCCTATTATTTAACTGGGAGAATATTATTGAAGGTACCTATCTTATTTTCTGCACGAACTAGATAAAATAAAAATAATATATAGTCAATAAAAAAATGAGATTGATAGAAATCGTTTCCTTATTTAACTGGGAGAATATTATTTGAAGGTATCTATGTTATTTTCTGCGTGAACTAGATAAAATAAAAATAACATAATCAATAAAAAAAGGAAATATTTTATTGACGAAGGAAAGTTTTGAAATTGAAAATTATAATTCTTTTTTGAAAACCTGACATTTAAAGTATCGTTTTCTCAAAACATAGTGTTCTTTTCCTGCCTTTGAAATAGAATTTTTAATTAAATGATTATTTTTAATTTAATATTTTTATTTTATTTATTTTTGTGTTCTAACAATACAAAAATAAATAAAATAAAAACATTTAACGGCAATGGATTGCAAATTGAGCAAAATTTAAAAACAGTTTTTTTTTTAATTATAAATTTCTAACAAAATATATCTGCATAAATAGTTCTCCCTTCAGCAATTTTATTCAAATTGATTGAAATCATTTTCTATCACTAACTGTGGCAACTTCATTGAAGGTATCTAAAAAAGATGGTAGTCCGATGAGAGATCATTCCGCGGATGAATTACTACGAGGTCAAGAACTTAAGCATCAGCAAAGGAAACGACACACTCAAGATGATTACAGAGGAAGCGTATCTACAGATAGTTCTCGAGAAAGACACGGAGAGGCACGTACCCCATTCCGGACACGTACTAGTGTAATAATGCTTAACCCTTCTCTGACAACCATTAAGAATCACATTGTTTTCGCTTGAAGAGGTTTCCCCCTATTTTCGTACGAAGAAATAAACATGACAATATTAAAGAAATATTTGAAAGGAATAAACAATAGATTGGCGTTATTTACTCTAGCAATTTATTCATTTTTTTAACAAACTTCTGGGGGAAAATATAGAAATCAATAATTTTGATATATTTAGAAGATAATTAGTGCTCCGATTGTTCTAACAAATCTATGATTTGACCAGATTCATTGATAAGTTGAGTCAGAGTTAAGTCCCCATTCTTAACCAATCGTCTGCGTGACGTCATTTTGAGGCTATGCATCACTAAAAATTTTGATTATCTGGTTGGAGAATAAGCCATTAAAGTTTTATACTTTATCGATCATAGAGCGTAGTTAACAGTCATAAATATTGCTTACCGATACTAGTGGAACATTTTTTAATAAAATGGTATTGTTGTCAGTATATTTAAAGTAAAAAAAAAAGAAAAAAAAAGGAATTACTGAAATATATACTTTTTTAAAATTACGGAATACTCATGCCACAAAAAGCTACAATTTTCATACATGGGAATTGCCGGCCAGGTGGCCGAGCGGTTAGCGTGCTTGACTGCGAAGACAATGGCTGCGGATTCGAATCCCGCTCTGGGCATGGATGTTTCTTTCTATGTGTTGTCCTCTGTTGTGTGTGATGTGTGAAGGTGGCCCACCCTATGAACGGGTATTTGTGGCAGTGTGGCGTAGATAATGTTGCTCGCCTCCGTGACTTAGGTTCACAGGAGCCCACTGGGTAACGTTAAATGAGCAACACTTCCGGCAAGGTGAAGGACGGAAGTTCAGTACCTGCCGTTAGAGAAGAAAAAAATACATTGGAATTTAAAGTCCATAATATCATAAAATCGAACGGAAAATCAAATGAATAATTTTTGAGCTCTTGATGAGGCAAAGTTGAAAAATATAGTTTCTTGAAAGATGTCATTAAAATCTGAAAATTAGAATACAGAGACACATTAAACAATTTTGTTGTTATGCCTCAACTGTAACCGGTTACTGCAACTTCTTCGAAAGTTCGAAAATTATTAGAATACTTATTTCAAAAAATGCAAAAAGGAAAAATTCTTTGATTGTTTGAAAAGCTCTGTCTGGTAGAATAATAAGGATAATGAATCTGAAGACGGCTATCAACACGGTTTTTCATTTTTAGGAAGATAATTAAGTTCCTGTTTTGCTTAAAACAGTTTTTAAGTGTACTCCAATTTAGTCTGGGAGTTGAAATTTGCTTAATAATAAAAATAAAAAAATATTTCAGGAGAGAAGAGAGCGACATAGATTTCCTCCAGAGGTTCAAAACCGGATTAACGAAATAAGAAATATAACACGAGATGCATCATCGGAAAAAGGCACAAAAGTAAAAAGTTTCTTCACATTCTTTAAATAAATTTTCAAATGATCAATCATTTTTGTGACAATCGGTATACTTGTAAAATAATTTAAAACTAGTTTTATTATTATCTTGTTTTGCATTAAACTTATTATAATATTGATGGTCGCTTTATCAGTAAACGAAGTTCCGGGAAATCTGAAATGGATAAAAAGAGTTTTATTGTAATTTAAGGTTTATTATGCTTTTTACTTATCGTAAATCCTAAACATAAAAAGTCATTGCATAAAATTTTAAGCGTGTTTTTAATTTTCAGTTCTTTTCTTTATCTGAGATATTAATAAAAAATATTAAGTTTTTAATTAAAAGACATCCTTTACTCTATCGAATTGGAATATGCCATTAAGAAGGTTAATGAATAAATTATTTTTAAAAAAAATAATAACAATCGAAATATTAATATTATCTTTCTTTTTAAATACATTAAAAAGATTTTATATACTTAAGCTTTAAAGGAATTTAAAAAGGACGAAAAAAGTCAAGGCAAAATAAAAATGTCCATTATTGTTTAATCCTTTATAATTATAAAATATTTTTAACTGAAATTCTATTGAGTGTTAGCTTTATAATAAAAAAAATATTTAAAGAAGATTATCAAAAAATAAATAGTGTAAACTTTTTACTGATTCTGACAAAACGAAGCAATTTCCTTGATTATTATAAGCTTAAATTTAAGGAATTATGTTTATTTAAAAAATATTATTAAATAATATTTTTTTCTCCGGTACTTATCCGTTTAACGGATGCGTAAAAAAAAACGTAATACTATTATTGACGACAGTGGTGCTTAATTAATGTTGGTAATTGGACCCTAATGCTCGAAAATCGGTGCTGAGGCAATAAGTTTTTAAAAAATGACTTATTTTTTTGATAAAAGAACAGACGTTTAAGGGCTTTAACATTTAATCAACGTTGTCTAAAGTTGATTATCGGAAAATAAATATGAGGCTTAAGGAATGCATAAATATTTTATATATTTTAAGAAAACTAACAAAATTAGAATTAATTATAATTTAGAATTAATTTATAGTGTAGCAAGTTTCAATGCATGCAGATTTTCTGTTTAACTTAGTTCTCTATCATTTAAAAGATAAATCACTATAATGCATCTAAATTTATAGCATTTAACTCCACTGCTACTGTACGGGAAGTTATTTTCTATTTTGAAAGATAATTTGGAAAAATTATGTTAATCGTATTTCGAACAACTAAAATAGGCAGGAAAAGTTTCAAACATGACTTGTTTTCAAAAAGCTCGAGTTTTGAATAATTTCTGTTGGTCAATTTTCAAATTTTTAATTTACAAACTTTCCTTGTTTATTCAAGAGGTAAGTAGGTAGGTTGTTACTTTATTAACTCGAATAGAGCTACACAATGGGCTATTGGCGGCGGTCTGGGGAACAACCCTGAGGATGATCCGAAGACATACCATCACAATTTTGATCCTCTGCAGAGGGGATGGCACTCCTGCTTTGCTAGCCTGTGCACGAAGTCGAGCATTTTACGGTAATACATTTTAATAAAAACTGATACAACGCACCCTCGGTCCCTATGCAGGCTGATCAAAGTGATCACCCACACGCATTCTGACCGTAGCCAGTAACGCTTGACTTCAGTGTTCTACTGGGAACCGTGTATTTACAATCAATCAACTTCTGGACGTTTATTCAAGAAAACAAGATATTGAATGGCTAGTTTTTAAGAAAAACAAATACAGTAGTACCTTTTCCAAGGGAGGTATTACTTCGACTTTCCTGAACAGACGCCTTATCTCTTAATTAAAGTCTTTATTACTCTAATTCAGAGGGTATAAAACTAAAAAAAAAGTATACGTTGCGTATTTACTTATTTTTCTTAGCCACAATTGTCTTATAAGTACTGTGATGCTTTTGCTTAGATTTATCTAACCAACCATTTGATGTCGTGAAGTATTGTAGTTTCAGACATTCCGAAACTTCCTCAGCCTTTTTTTTTTCCCTCAACTACTTACAAGAATATTTCTCGTTATCGCGATGAGTGTAAACTTTTTTTTCTTCTGGATTTTGATTGTGAGAAATTAGTATTTATATTAACATTAAACTTGACTTCGAAAGAAGAAACAAAAACTGCTTTAGCATTGGGGGGGGGGGAAGCAGGGAAAATGTATGCAGGAATTTGAGTCACAATGGTCCATTAGAAAAGTAATTAAGTAATGACACAGGATATGTTCTTTTTTTTTGACAACTGAAATTGGTGTGTTTATTCAAACCAGCATGGATATGAGTAGATAATGCACCCGCATTGACCTTTAAAATTTACTTTTTTTTTCTCAGAAAGTATTTTTTTATTTTATTATTATTATTATTTCGCGATAAAAAAATTTTTTTTAACGAAGGTTTCAAGGTTACGTTTTTGAACCGAAGAAAATATTTTCTTGCGAATTAAGAACATTATTTGTTATTGTCACGCTCATCCTTAGATCAATGAACGCAATATTATTAAAGACAATGCATCGTATATATTTATAATACAACAGCAATTTTGCATTTCAAGTTTCAAGAATAACATTGTTTTAAATACAGATAATTTAATATATATATATATATAAATAGAGCACGAGTGATTAGAATTAAAATAAGAGATACCAGTATGGAATAAGAAATTATATAAGAAATAAAAAGAAATTAATTTGTATCTGATGAAATAGTTATAGTACCCGAGGAAAAATTCGAAGAATGAATCAAAATGTCCCGGATGAAAGAATCTAAAAATGAATCAAAATGAAAATTGTAAAAGAACGAAACGGTAGAGATTGGTAACATCAGCGGGCGCTTTGTTTACCGTTCAAAGTCAGGGCAGTTTCATACAGCAATTTCCAAAAGAAATTTGCAATAATTTTGAATTTGCCAGATGCTTCGGATTTGTTTCTTTTATGTAACAAAAGAAACTTAAATATAGCTTTAACCCCATGGCATATCATTTTAAAATTCTAAACTGTGCGGAACTATTAATTTCTTGATATATAAATGATCTTTGTTGTAAACAACAACTCGCAATGGAATGCTGACAGAGATGCCAACTGCTCCGGACACGCCAAAGTAATTAAAAAAAACGGTTAATAACTACAAACTAAATTTTACAAATATTTGACTATTTTTGCTTGCTTTTTAAAAGGTATAGCATGACATAACTACTATAAAGTGGTGAATTATATAAGCCTACGAATTGTTTAGAAATAGTGGTGGATAAAAATCTACTAAATAGAATTTATTAAACCAAGAATCACAATTCTTAAATTACCACTTTAAAATATTTATTTGCTGTCCGGAGCAAGTTGTCATCTCTGTGTTGAAGACGTCTGAGACACGTCAATTATTGTTTTGACACAAACAAATGACGTCTCCCAGACGTCATCGTATGTCAAGGGACTAATTATACTTTTTTTTAACTAACGTAATTATATTTGCTTTATTCCTGTTCCCTTCCCGCTAGTCCTGCTCACCTTCTTAATTGTTTAGGAGCCTCCTGGAGGAAGCTGTTGTTGTGCAGGAGAAGATTTTCTCAGGAGATGGGGTCTTTTGGACCTGGAGTAGGCTTTCTTGCACCAGGAGGATGAGTAACAACAACATATTTGCTTTCTTAAGCATAACAAGTCCTGTATTTCTATACAAAAAAGAACTATCTCCAGGAGTGGAGTGCGTCTTGAAATACGAAGAAGTGCGGGCCCCTTGATGGGCAGTTACAATTCCAGAAATGTTCGCCATTCATGTCAACATATTCCTCACAGAAAATGCAGTTAAGAGTATCAGCAAGTTCGAAAAAAATTCGATTAAGAAAATAGTATTTCCTTTTTAACTTTAAATAACATTTGTATGTTAAATTTAATACACCCAATATGATAGAGATATGACCACTAAGAAGTCTTACTCTGTTCCTATTATTTTCCTTGAAGCTTTTCACGAATATGACGTGTAGTTAAATGTTCATATTTTTCATATTGTAGCTTTCCTTTTGAATTAGCAAGCCGCCATGGGTTAATTTTAGTATAATTAAATAATTTCTATTTAATATACATATATATTCATTTTTCAAGACTTTTGATCTTCTGCTATTTTTTTTGTTTCACACTGTATGTCTGTAATTAGAATATCTATGTATCTTTCTTTTTAGGGTTGGAAAAAACACGAACATCATCCTTTTGATACAGGGAAATCAGTAACAGAAGGATATGAAAAGGTATGCTAAAAATAAAAAAATGAAAACTAAAAGTTATAGAGCGCAAATGGTTTGACTATTTAATGAAATTAAAAGACAGAATACCTTTTAGTTTTCATAAACAAAACACTTATAACATTTTAAATATTAAAGTAAAGAAATGATATTAATAGCTGAAAAGTTATCTTAAAATTTGTTTTTTAAATATTAGTTAAGATGGAACATAGGTATAGTATTATAAAGATCTCCCCCCCCCCC